GATGCAGGGCTCGATCCCAGGACCCTGGGATCATGACCTGAGCCGAAGGCAGACGCTTAACCGACTGAGCCACCCAGGCGCCCCTGTAAAAATTTTTTTAATGGGGGGGGCACTCATAGTTGTCAGCGTGCTGACTTTAACTCAATAAACTCGCGGATCCAGAAAAAAAAATTTTTTTTTAATTTAAAAAATGGTTTAAATGGTAAATTAAAATTTTTAAATTGGATAAAATTAAATTTTTACATTTTTACATCCTATACAATGTTATAAAAATATTTGCTGTTATGTATATTTTAGCACAATAAAAACTAAAATATAAAAAATAAAATCAACGCATTCTCCTATGTGAGAATACATGCATCCATCCTGAGGACTATAAGCCAGAGCGAGCACGGGATATTTCTGGAAGGTGGAAGCACAGAGAATTATACATTTCCACCGTGTTTGTCTTCCAAAGAGCATGTAATTTTGTCATCACAAGATAATTAAAGATGAAAAAACTCCAACGGAGCAGGATGTAAGGTAATGGATTACCACGAAAAGGGCCTGTGCTCGGCTGAAAGTCACCTCAGGGGAGGGTTTTCCTTCTCGGGAGGAGGGAGGAGGTCGGCTTACCCGGAAGTCCCTGGAGATGGCTGAGAGGCGGGGAGCAGACAGAAGGTTAGGGCTCCGCAGGTCCTGGTGATGCTTCCCCCTGAGCAGCGAGGACTCGGAGGCTGGCAGCCAGCAGAGCAATGCACACCCCCAACCTGGGCCTTAGCCGGGCTGGGGACCTGGGGGGCGGGGTGGGGGGGTGAGGTGGCCAAGTGCCCAGCGGCTGAGGGACACGCGAGCAGAGGCCCCGAGAAACAGCACCCGGCGGGGGACGGGGAGGGGGGGGAACGACACAGGCCGGGCATGGGGGCTGCACAGCGGCCTCCCCGCACAGCAGAGACCGGCTGGCCTACGCATCCTGCAAGGCCCCTCTGCCTGGTGGGAGCTGCCGGCGTGGTCCAGGAGGCTGGGAGGGAAGCGGCCTTTGAAATGTTTCTCCCCCAGCTTTGCCCCCAGGTTGCTAGGGTAAAATCCATAAACACACCGACCGGCTTCATTACTGATTAATGAGCTCCAGCTTTATGTCCGACAAGCCTTGGACTCGAACCAGGTGGCTGGCTTCCCGCCTTTCCTAACAGCAGGTTCAAAGCGGCCCGCTTTCCCCCCGCCCCTCCCCCGGCCCCAGGCTCCCACAGCACAGTCGGGTAGAAAGATACCGAACCCGGGCCTCCTCCTTCGCCGCCGAAGGTCGGTGAACTCTCTGCTCACTCGTGTGGCTTCGTCCGCCTGTCTGGTCCTTCCTGATTCAGAGGCCGGCGGGGTGGGCGGCAGTGCCCCTTCCCAAGCCTGACCCGAGCACCCCTGCCCTTGAACCCATCCTCATCAGCCATCTCGGAGGCATTTCGCAATTTCCCTCCTTTTTTTTTTTTTTTTAATAATCTCTACACCCAAGGTGGGGTTTGAACTCACAACTCCTGAGATCAAGTGTCACCTGCTTTACCGACTAAGCCAACCAGGTGCCCCTCTGTGTTCTTTTTTAAGATTTATTTACTTTCATTTTTTTTTTAAAGATTTTATTTATTTATTTGACAGAGACAGCGAGAGAGGGAACGCAAGCAGAGGGAGTGAGAGATGGAGAAGCAGGCTTCCCGCCGAGCAGGGAGCCTGATGCGGGGCTCGATCCCAGGACCCTGGGACCTGACCTGAGCCGAAGGCGGATGCTTAACGACTGAGCCACCCAGGTGCCGCAAGATTTATTTACTTATTTTAGAGAGAGTGAGAGTGAGCCCCCGTGCAGGTGCCTGTGGGCAGGGGGAGAGGTGGAGGGAGAGGGGGTGTCAGTCAGAATCTCCAGCAGACTCCCAGCTGAGTGGGGCTGGATCCCTCAACCCATGAGTTAGGACCTAAGCCGAAATCACTAGTCAGACACTTAACCGACTGAGCCAACCAGGTGCCCCGTGTTCTTTTTTAAAAACTAGTTTTATTAAAGTAGATGCTACATACAATTGGCTAAGTGCACCATTTTGATGAGTTTTGACAAATGTATGCACAGGTGTAACCACTATCACAATCAAGGTATAGATTTTATTACCCTAAAAAAGTTCAGTTGTGTCCCTTCCCAATCTGCTCCTGCCATCCCCATCCCCAGGCAACCATTGATCTGCTTGCTGTCACTCCAGAATAGATTTGTCTTTCTATAGTTTTGTATAAGTTCAATCCTATATTATGGACCCTTTGGTGTCTTGGTTTTTTTGCTCGGCGTGCATTTTGAGATTATCCATGCTGTTGTGTGCATGAATGGTTCATTCCTTTTTCTTGATGACTAGTATTCCATTGTATGGATATAACACGATTCTTTTATCCATTCACCTGTCAATGGGTATTTGTGCCATTTCCACTTTTTTTTTAAGCTATTATGAATAAAGCCACGGTGAACATTTGTATACGAGTCTTTCTGTGGACTCATTTCTCATTTACCCATTTCTCTTGGGTGATTAAGAGCAGAATAGCGAAGTCATATGGTATTTCTATGTTTAAATTGCTAAGGAAGTGCCAGACCATTTTCCAGAGTTGCTGAAACATTTGACATCCCCACCAGCGGTGTATGAGAGCTTCAGTGGCTCCACATTCTTGTTAGCACTTGATATTGTCAGTCTTTTTCATTTTAGCCATTCTAATTGGTGGGTAGTAGCATTCTGTTTTCCATTCTAATTGGTGGGTAGTAGCATTCTGTTTTCCTTTAGCTTGTTATCATGAAATATTTTCAGCACGTGAAATATTAGGATCACGGGATTCCGGGATCATGACCTGAGCTGAAGGCAGATGCTTAACTGACTGAGCCACCCAGATGGCCCCATTTTCTTCTTTTTAAACAGCTTTATTTACATGTAATTTACATACCACACAATTCACCCATTTAAAGTATATAATCTGATGCGTTTTAGTATATTCACAGATAAGTGCAACCATCACCACTTTGGGGTCTTTTAATCCTCATGAATTTGTTAAAAATTGGACACTTTTTTTTTTTTAAAGATTTTTAAAAATTTATTTGAGAGAGAGAGATCAAGAGCAGGGGGAAGGGGAGAGGGAGAAGCAGACTCTGTGCTAAGCAGGGAGCCTGATGCAGGGCTCGATCCCAGGACCCTGGGATCATGACCTGAGCTGAAGGCGGATGCTTAACCAACCGAGCCACCCAGGGGCCCTGGACACTTTAAATAATGTAATGTGACAATTCTGGAAATCGGAGTCTTCCTTGATCCAGGGTTAGTTGTTGCTGCTGTTTATCCTTGTTGTTTGTTTCTGAGCTAATTCTATATGGTATATTCTTTGTCGTGAGTGGCCGCTGACGTCTCTGCTTGCTAGCTTAGTGGTCAACTAATGAATGGACAGAGATTTCCTCAAGTGTCTGGAAGCAGTAAGTCCCCCAGTCATTGCCAGCGGGTTCTGTGGGGAACCATGGGTGCGAAGACACACTTTCAGCACCCAACCAGGCAGTCGACAATTCTTCCTTAGCCTTAACTTCCTGCTTGCACAAAGTCTGGACGTCAGCCCGAGCTGAGAGATTAGGGCTTCCCCAGGCCTTTCCTGGGCATGTGCACAGCTCTACGCATGCAGGTGGCCTTCCAGATTTCCAGGAATATGTCAGAACTTTTCTGAGCCCCCATGGACATCTTCTTCCATAGCTCTTCCTCCTCTTGTCCCTGCCTCTGCTGACAACACCTTCAGCTGAATTGGGACTTTTTAGGTCATAGGAAATAGTTACTCCTCCGTGAAGTCAACTGTAGGTCCCATGTGGGGCAATCAGAGAGACAGGTCTTGGGGCCTTGCTGGGCCACAAGAGGCACAAAGGAGCCCAGGCTGCAAGAGCCTGAGACCCCTCTCGTGGCCTCTCCCTCGCTCCTGGGCAATCTGCTGTCTTCTTTCCCTGATGACTACATCCTCTGCTTACTCATTTCATTCATCCTTTCTGTTCCCTCATAACTTCTGCTTACTCATGGCCCACATCATGACCTTTTAGCTTCTGCTCCCATGATTAACTGATGAATCCCCCAGCATGCCCTGGTTTCAATCACCAAGTGTGAGAAAATCTCCTTCTCTGGGCTCATCTTCTCTTAGGCCCCCTCAGAGGATGCCACTCCTCCTGTGGATTTACTTATCTCAAGTCCGGGGCTCACCCCAGTCCAATCAGCTATTGCCAAGGGGGTAGGGTGGAGTCAAGTGTTTCACTACAAAACACCTTCCAGGAGCTATGGGTGCGACACAATTTCACTTGGTGCTGAGCATTTGCCGACACCATGAAAGACATGTCTAGGACAGTCACATGCTATGGCAGAGCATAATGATTAAGAGCACAGTGTCTGAAGCTAAACTGCCTCAATTTGTATCCCAGCTCCTTCACTTCCCAGTTATGTGTCCTTGAGCAAGTTAACTTCTTGGGACCTCAGTTCCCTTATCTGTCAAATGGGAATGGTGATAATCATCATACCTACTGCAGGAGGGTTAAATGAATTAGCACATGTAAAGGGCTCCGTGTAAATGCTAGAAATCATTATCCAGCCACTGAGGGTAGAAAATGCAGACTCCTTTCTCTCTCTTTAAATCTCCCACGTCCGATGTTGTTAACGTTCTACCAATTCTATAACCCAAATCCTTTTTTCTTTTTAATTTTTATTTTTTAAAGATTTTATTTATAAAAGAGTGCACGCGCGCACTAGCGTGCTCACAGAAGCCGGGATAGACGTCAGCTGCTCTGCAAGCAATGGGGGTGCTCTGCTCCCTGGCAGTGCCCTGGGAAAAGTGGCCTGACCCAAGAGAGCTGGCTAGGTGGCCCACCTGAGGGGCTGGACTCCAAGCTCCGGGACCTCCAGCCTGAAAAAGATTCCTAGACCCCCTGCCATCAATCCAAAGCACTGTCTTGGAATAGCCATAGGCTCCCAAGCTGATATGAAGGCTGGATTCCAGTATATTGACTTCAAGAAGTACATGTTTGTTTACACTGAACATACATTTTCATGGTCCAGAAATATCCATGTTTCCCATTACTAGCCCCCCACTACTCTGAATAAAGGAAACTGGGAGGCCAAATTATTTTGTGGGAAGTTTGCTTAGCAAAAGTGGTGGACATGAAAGAGGACTTCAGCTGCCTCCATTTTATTGAATGATTGATTGATTTTTAGAGAGAGAGCATGAGCGCACATGCCCTGGGGGGGAGGGGGAGAGGGAGAGAGAGAGAGAGAGAAAATCTCAAGCAGGCTCCACACTCAGTTCAGAGCCCAACGCAGGGCTGGATCTCACCACCCCGAGATCATGACCTGAGCCAAAATCAAGAGTTGGATGCTTAACCGACTGAGCCACCCAGGCGTCCCAGCTGCCTCCATTTTGACCTCACACTTTCTAGTTGGGTTCTTTCCAGCTTGTTTCTTGGCTCAGGTGGAAAACCCCAGGGCAAAGCATACCCTGATGGGAAATGAAACTACCCCCTCAAGCAACAAGGACTGCCCTGAGCCAGCAAGATCCCCGCCCATGGCTGACTCCAAGACAGTGACCAATTTGACCTTCACTGCCCACCTGCACATGCCCACCCACCCACGTTTTTTTCTTTTTTTTAAAGTTTATTTTTTTTAGTAATCTTTGCACCCTATGTGGGACTCAAACTCATGACCCTGGGATGAAGAGTCACAAGCTCTTCTGACTGAGACAGCGAGGTACCCCCCACTCCCACATTTTCCTTATATAAACCTGGAAGTATTTTTGGCACTTTGGAAACGGTCTTTGAGGCCCTAGTCCACTGTCTGCCCGGTGGTGGCCTCACTGAAATAAAGTCCTTTCTTGTTTCCCCTTCACTCGTTTCTCTGCCTTTGGGTTTTGTCAGTGGCCAAGTGGCCAGACCTGGTCTGTTTGGTGCTCTTGTACCCCTGAGCCCTGGCTACAGACAAACCTACCCAATCCCCTTTCTCCTCTTCCCCCTTGCCAACAGTACCCTGATATTACTGGAAGCAGCAATATGCCAGATAGAAAATGACATTCCCAGACTCCCTTGAAGTTGGGGATGACCACTGAGATGTGAACGGAAGTTGGTGGGTGAGTTTTCTAGGAAAGGTCTTTGGTTCTTTGCCCTTCCCCTACTTCCTGCCTAGAATGTGGGTGTGGTGATGGACTCCTAGCAGCCTGGTGATCTGAGGGAGGGAAGCCCTGCCCTGAGGATGAAGGAGTAGAAAGATAGAAAGAACAGGGCTCCCAGAGGCCTATGGAGCCACCTTGTCAGCCTTGGTTTGCTTATCCCTGGACTGCTTTTAAATGAAAAAGAAATAAACTATCTTGTTTAAACCACTAGTGTTCTGTTTAACAGCCACACCTAATCCTAACTGATAAAGTGAGCACAAAATCAGAGTACAGGCAGGAGGATCACCCAGAGGGATAGTTTTTGCAGGCCGGGGTATGAGTGCAGAGCCCTAGCCGTCCCCTGCAGAGGCCGCCTATGGCAGGAGCCTCAAAGATGGCCCCTGATATTGGCCTCGGGGTACTCCTTCTCTCATACATAACCCTCCGCAATGACTAGGGCGGGCAGTGTAGCTAATAGGATGCTGCCGAAGTGACAGTGCGTGACTTCTGACGTTAGGCCATAAGAGAAACTTCTACCTTGTTCTCTCTTGGGTCATTTTTTTCTGGGGAGAGCCAGCTGCCTTGTTGTGAAGACACTCCCACAGCCCTAAAGAGAGGCCCACGTGGTGAGGAACTG